ACAGTTACAGTGGTGTTAATCAGTATCATCTTTGTAGCACCCCATGACTTTCTTTCCAAAGGGTTTTATTTGTAAGTTGGTGACTCCTGAGTGCCACTATCCACCATCAGCACCACCCACCTCTGCTGGCAGCGGACGCAGGTGGCATGGCATCGTTTGATCAGTTGTTTCCAGTGAAAAGCTCCCGTTATGCGGCATGCCTGGAGAATTAGGCCATAACAACACTTCAGGCTCCTGAGTCAGACCCAGAGATAGTGGGAAAGGCTTGTCTGAAGGCAGCAGGGCCTCAGGGTCACCTTTGTGCATGCTCTTGTAGTGTCCGGAGTGGACAGCCAGTATACAGTTCATAGTTGTCCTGATGGATTGTTTTCTTGGAATTGGACATTTATGTTCCAGACCTGGCTTTTTAGTTTTTGGCTTGGCTGTGTTCCTTGGGTTGCAGATTTCACTGTATCTGAAGTCTCAGAGTACCGAGGCTCCAACGATGCTGCAGAGAAGGTGGTGAACTGCAGTATAGGCAAGAGGTAGGTAGGACAGAGGATTTTGTCAGGGAAGATGGGAAGGAAGAAAATGCATCTGCTGCACGCTGCTCTGCAAAGCCATGCCTGGCCTGGGTTGGGAGGCAGAAGGCAGCGAGTGCCCGGGTTCTCTGTGGCAGAGGCAACGCGTCACCCTCTGGTGCCTGTCAGGTGGTGTGCGCTGTCACTGGTGATAGCTCAGTGGAGTTCTACCCCCACCCCGGCTTCATCAGTGCGTAACCTGCAGTTAGGATAAATACTGTGTTGTCAGGGCAAATAACTGGAATCTTCCCTGGTATGATTAGCACACTCAAGTTCTATCATTCTCTTGGTTTTAAAGTTCCACAGAAATTACTAGCTGTTTACTATTATTATTATATTAGTTCACTTTACAGTAATTTTATAGAGAGATAAATACTTTTTAAAAGATGTTTTCCAGCAGCCTAGAGTGACTGCACGGCGGAGCCGTAGTGTCTTGTTTTGAATGTGCCATTTCAACCCTTCAGTCTAGTTCATTTGAGAAAGCAGGATTCAGATTGCCTAAGCAGGCAGTGTATCAGCTCTTGTGTTTTCCTCAGATTAATTATTTTGCAGTGTGATTGTTGTCTGTACTTTTGGCCAACCATGGCCTCAAATAATTTGAGAAGTAGGTGTTGTATTTCAAAAAAGAGCCAACAGGGGTCTCGTTTTCCCCGTGTGTGAGGCAGTGGCCCAGGGGAGCGTGAGCGCTGTGGCAGTGCCAGTGCTGGCCTGGGCTTCGGAAGTAGCAGTGAAGCAGCAGCGGTTTGTTTTGTTTTATGCAAAATTCTATATTCA